GACCCACCATCAACTTTCAGGTCGATAAATAACTCCCGTCTTCCTTTGGTGGAGCTCCTGAGGCACTTATATCTGCCTTCATCCTGCAGCTTCACTCCAGTTAGTTTCAGTGAGAGGTTATTTCTGGGAATCTGGTCCTTGAACACTGAGGTTCTGTTTCTAAAGCGCTGGTTCTGGTTTCCCAGTTGGTCTTGGTTTTGGTAGAAGGAGTGAACATTTAGGTCTCCTTTTGTATACGACCAGTGGAGGATTAATTCATCTCCATTATATAAACTACAGGGGAGGATGCAGCTCTGCATGAAGAGACAGGACACCTCTGGATCTGTAAGACATGAAGAACAGAATCAGAAGGAAAATCTGATTTATTCAGTTTGACTGAAGGGAAACAGATCATGAATAAAATCTGCTGTTGGTGCTAAATGTGAGTTTAGTCGCTCTCCTAAATCTCTAAAAACAAAGAAAGAATCTCAGCTAAAATAAATAGAATATCTCTGCATCAACAAACGATGTTTGCATTTAAATAAAATGTAATGCACATATGAAGGTCCAGATAGACTCTCTTCCCCATGTGGCTCCGTGCAGGAAGTTATGCGACACCATGATGTCTGGAAAACATGTTAATCCTTCACTGAGGATCATAATCGTCTAAAACTGGAAGTAGATCTGAAAACACTCACCTGATGAGGAGAAAGACAAGAAAAGAAACTTTGTGATCACAAGAATCACAAAGATTTTCTCTCCATAATGTTCCCGATGCATTTTATGTGCTGGAAGAAAAGAGCAGCAACAACTATGTCCTTCTTTTCCGCCTCTTCATCAAATCTCTGCTCCTCCTTCAACATGTTGGGACATGAATGGAATGGAAACAAACCAGGATTTAAACCATTTAGATCAACTTCCAGTAACAACCAGAAGACATTATGGCTTTACTTTGTAAAAAATAAAATGTTACTCTGCAGTTAAAATATGGACCATTTCTATAGTTTATTGAAATAATTAAAACAGGAGAGATGAAGAAAAATGAACTTTATTTAAATCTACATAATAAAACAAACATCTTCAACATTTATATTAGAAACTGCAGTTTAACCACAGCATTGCAGCCTGTGATTCAGACACTTTGGTTCTGAATCATAAAAGCAGATCAAAGAGTTTAATGAAAGCAAAAAGACAAAAAAGAGTAAAGTGTAGAAATTACATAAAAATCTGTATTTTATGTTACAATTTTGCTCTCCAGTATGTTAAACTTCATTTTTTATCTTTATATTTTAATATTTAATTTTTTTATGAAGCTACATGCTTCATTTTCTTGTCATTTTGCTGTTATGACACATGAACATCACCTTCAGGACAATAAAAGATACTTTTATTCTTTTACCACATAAGAAAAACACAAATCAAATGATGAGAAAATCAGACGCAGATCAGATTTCACACACAGGAAAACAAAACATATTAAACATTCATACTTAAACATTATTAGTCTGAAAACTTGAAGGATTTTTACAGACATTTAGACTGATCAGCTGTTTCCCTTTAACACCCTGGATAAAAACCCAAATACAGATAAAAACAAAGTTTGATCAAATCAAAAATGCTGATTAATGAACAGCTTCAGTCACATGAGAAACAAACAAACTTATTGTTGTAAATTACACATTTAAAACATGTAATTAGTGTCTATTATAGATTATGGAATAAAAACATGATCAGAAAACCCAAAATCTCCCCAACTTCAGTGAATAAAAGTTTTATCATTTCCTGTTATGTTTGCAGCAGCAGAATCTGTTAAACTTGAAGCCATTTAAGGTCAAAAATGTTCTGATCAGCCAACCTGATCCTCTGAATATAGAAACATGAACGAGCTTGAAATGATCTGAACATGATGAAACCTGCAGGCTGGATTCTGCTGCTCAGCTGAAACTGGAAACATGAAGGAAAAACTGGGACTTTTCTGTGCAATAATAAATCTGTAGTTTATAAAGTGGATCACATGGTTACAAAATGCATTCAGAGTTATTTTTGTATCTGTTATTCCTTGTAAGTCCAGTGAAATTAATTCCTCCACACATTCAGAAGACCTGCATTTAATTTATTTAGTTCATTTCAATCATATTTTGTCCAATAGTTTTAACTGGATGCTGTTATTAAACAGGTGGTGGTCAGTAAATACACTGTAAATATTCAATGTCAAAGTTTAATGGCTCACAGATATTTCAAGAACAGATTGGGTAAAGTGTGTAAGAGTTAAACTAAAACCAAATAGGTGATGATTTTCTGCCTCCTGGTATTTTACATGTTTAACTCAAACCATAAAATCACTTAAAGTTAAAATTGTCTGGAAACAAGTTCTGCTATCATTTCCTGTTATCTACTGAAAGTATTATCAGAAGCTTTATGCTGTGAACAGTTATATTTGGAAATGTATTTTTCTTCACTGTGAATTTATTTTTAAATAAATATTTTTTTGATATTTTTTCACTGTATCCGTTAAGATACCAGAATTTACTCATAACTTTATATTTTTGCTTCTGATCTCATATTTATTCTCAAGTCATAAGTTTTGATCAGTTTCTCAGCATTCCACTTTTCACCAAATACTTTTAGATTTGAGAACTACTTTTGACTTTTACTCCAGTAGATACTGCAGTAGTTTTATTATAACTTTTATACATTTTTAGCGGCTGCACCATCTTTTACACACACCGTCTTCACTTTTTACAACAGCCAGATGTGTATTAATAATTCTGTCAAATCAGCATCTTTTGTCCCACAACCTGTGAGGTTGGATGGATTATCTCAGCAAAGGAGAAAAATTAATATCACAGATTTAGACAGATTTATGAACATTTGAGAGTAAAAAGTGAATTATGTATGAAGATAACGTTTCTAATGCTTGAGTTCAGTTCACAGTAAACTGGGATCAAAACAAAAAGGTTTGATTTACAGTTTAGTAAGTTTGTTCTTTTTTTTTTTTAACCAAAGCGGTTTAATACTGACATGGTTTAAAATAAATCCTGGTTTTAAAACGTCACTTATTTAAATCCAGGCCTGCAGAGTCATCATTCAGCTGCAGCTTCATGTGAACCTTCAGGAGGCTGAAGTTCAGTTCCTCTGTGAAATGTCTGTTATTCGTTGCATGTCCTCCACACATCCAGAAGTCCTGAATTTTAATGCATTTGGTTCATTTAAATGATTTAGTTCAGAATCCACTGAGGACAACGAGCTGCACCATCATCTCAGCTGAATTCTGTTTTAAAGAGGAGGTCAGTAAATTTAAAGTTAATTACACACTCTTTCTATACACACTAACAGAGATGTTAGTGTGTAGAAAGAGTTAAACTAAACCAATCCTGATAGAAACCATCTGGACTCAGTGGTGCTGATTTTCTCCTTCCTGCCTCCTGATATTTTACAAGTTTAAACCATAAAATCACTTAAAGTTTAAGCTAAAATTATCTGGAAACAAATTCTGCTGTCATTTCCTGTTATCTATTACCAAAAGCTTTATGTTGTAAAACAGTTTTAATAGGAAACATTTTTCTTTAATGTGAATTTATTTTTAAATATGTTTTTAAATATTTTTCACAATATCTTTTAAAATACCAGAATTTCTTCAAATTTATTCTCAAATTAAATCATATGTAATGATCAGTATAAGTTCAGTCTATTTACCATCAGTTTCTCGTCATTTCAGACTTTTCACCAAAAAGCCCAAAACTCATCTGTGTATTAATAATTCTTTCAAATCAGCATCTTTTGTCCCACAACCTGAGGAGATGTAGATTATCTCAGCAAAGGAAAATATCCCAGATTTACACAGATTTATGAACATTTGAGAGTAAAAAGTGGAGTATCTATGTACAAAATATTTCCTACATTTGAGTTCAGTTCATAGGAAACTGGTATTAAAAAACATTTGATTTACACTTTTGTACCTTTCTGTTCTTTTTAACCAAAGTGGTTTAATACTGACATGGTTTAAAATAAATCCTGGTTTTGAACGTCACGTATTGAAATCCAGGCTGCAGAGTCGTCATTCAGCTGCAGCTTCATTTGATCTTCCAGGAACCTGAAGTTCAACGTCTCTGTGAAATTGAATATTAAAACATAAAGATTATTCTCTGATCAATATCAGCTTTTCTTATTTTAGAGCTGATGTTTGTTCATGTTAATTGAGATCAATATATTCATAAACATGTTTATATTGGTTCCAGATGATCAATTCATTTGAGTTTTAACCTGTTAACTGTCCATCATCTGGTCATAAATGTGTAAAATCTTTACTCACTGATCAGCTTGAGCTCCTCCTGCTGTGGAGATGAAGAAAAAATAACGTTAATAATCAGATTATTGAAATACATGAAATCAATCTAAAGGCGATTTGTTATTTTACCATTTGTGCAGTATTTCATCCGTAAAATTATTACTGCAACAATCAAAATGATCAAAATGATCAAACTGACAACCACAGCGATGAGGATGCCGTTATGAACGACTGGATCAACTGAAATACAGAACAGGAACATTTTCTGAATGAATATTTTTAAATTAAAAGTGTTTGTCGTTTCCTAACTGTCATTCAGATGGCCATGACCTTTGACCTCACCTTGGTTTATCCTCACAGAGGTCTTTGTAATAATCGTCTGGTCTTGGTTACTGAGTTCGCAGGTGTAGACCCCCTCCTGCTGTGATGTCATTTCCTGTAAGGTGAGGCTTCCTGACCTTGACTCGACCTTCACATGTTTCCTCCAGGCCTCTGAGACTCTGGGGGAGACGCTGGGCTCCGTCTGACTCAGGATGATCTGATCGTTGAACCTCCAGACCAGGCTGGCTGCAG